CCACTTCTGATCATAAGAAAACACATATCAAAGAAAGGCGCCTTGACCTGTGATGCCCTGAAATGCAAGACGTTAAGTGGTAAACATTACAAAGTTCTGCACATCAGTGGTTGTCTCATGATTTCTCTATGAAAAAAGTATAAATAAATCCTTTACATACAAACTGCTAACGGACCTCCCTCAGCAGTCTCAGACATAAGAACAAGTTGAATGCAAAGCTACAAAGACAGTAAGTAGAAAAATGTTGTTTTCCTCACAAAAAAATTACCTCATGATGGAAAGAATACAATCAACGATGGGATGTAGTAGCAGATCATTCACTGTAATGACGTTTAGATACTTTCATGCACGGAGGCTGCTCAATGAATAGTGTGGATTTGACCGAGCTGTCGTCTTTTCTCGTGTGTAGAAACCTGAAAACGTTTCCTCTAAATCCATTTCAGAATAAAAGTTAAAGTCCAATGCTCATTGAGATTACATATGACATATGATTATGTTTAGCTGTTAGAATCATGTACAGTATTCTGAGATGAGCATTAGATGATATTTGACAGCGAGTTTTACTTGCACCGACATCACTTTGTAAGAGCAGGAATCTTATTTTGCAAAAGCTGTAGAAAAGAAAAAAAACAGGTCATCACATCAGCACTGTATTTAAGCCCTCAAGATTTGCTTTTTGTTCCTTTACCGCAGATAACAGGTGTCATTCACGTGTAGTACAGACTCTGGACATGACAACATTAGTAGCAGACTGATTATAGCTGTAGTACATTGCTGCTGAGCCACCTACATTCAGTGTAGATGGGAGATCAGTATGTTCACCTTCTGGAACAAAATAAGGACACTGAAACCCTCCTGTTACATTTCTGTGTAGAGCGGCTGTGTTTTGAGGTTGTCTGTAATGGTGATTGTGGTATTTGAGCACCGATGTGAAGCACCACACCATCAACCGCAAACCGGCAGAAAACGACAACAAATGTTCAAAATATTCCTCAGAGAGCAACTGTTATGTTGCAATAAGAGCCATGACGGTAAAATTATACAGTCATCACAGTTGTCGAGAACTAATCAGTGCAGCTATTCCAACACAATGGAAAACATGAAAACATACGAGTTAGTCCTTCTTTCTCTGCTTCACGTTCTGAAAGCAGGAAACATGTCGGAGCTCTGCTACAGTAGCTGGACAGCATCGCCAAAAATAGTGCCAGTGATCGAAACGATAGAACTGTGACTTCACAGAAAAATAAATGTTTATACAGAGCCACTTTTTGCCTGGGTAAAGTTAAAACGGCACTGTGAGTGATGAATAAAATTAATATTCAATGAAAAAATAAAAAACTATCTTGGCACCACCTTCACTGATGCTGATGGCAACTCACAGGTGAAACACACTAACTGACAAATGTACTGTACTGGCAGCTTCTCACATTAGTTTATATACACGTTACCGTTAGAGACCAGAAAGAAACTCCAACAGCAAAAAGAAAAAAGGTTTTCTTTTCTTTTTTTTGTAATGCATTCTATACACTCACTTCACCCTTTTAACAGCGTCCTCACCGACACAGAGCATAGTAAATACACAACGCCAGGTTGCTTTGTTCAACCCACATCTTAAACATCTTGTGATTTGGACATCGACAGCATGGGACATTCAGTCGTGTCCTAATGCACTTGTTGATGTTTGTGTGTCTTTTTTGTCCTTTTTTTTGTTGATGAGGAGAAGAAGAGATGGATGTTCTTGAAAGGAGGGGGGAGTTGGTCTGCTGGTCTACAGTCTGTGGAGCATTTTGTCATAACAATGCTACACTGCCTCATCTGTTGAATGTGTGGTAATACTTCACTGCTACCACAGAGTATTGGGCCACATAAAGGAAAAGAATCTGAGATCAAGAGAATAAAGTCGTAATAGAATAAAGTTGTAGTATTATAGTATTAC